TAACCAAGAATAAAAGAATTGGGATTAAGTCTGGGCAGCTACTCACTAGCTATATGCCCTGGAATAATTTCAACTCTGAGCCACAGTTTTTTCATTGATTGGATAAACTAACCTTATAAAATTGTTAAAGAATTTCATGAAGTGAGGAGAATACAAAGCATGATGTATTAATGTGTGACACAAAAGTCATTCATATTTCTCCATGAATTCTTCACACAAATATGACAGTAAGTCTTTGAATTTAATTGTGTTAAAACCAAGTCCATGTGTTTGAATTCCATCTGCACCTCCTCGACCACAGATGACACACACTTGGCAATTCCAAAATGCTAGACATAGAGTACAAAAAGGATCAACAGACTCTACTTATCCCAGACCCACTGCCATTCAGGAAAAGTAATTCAAAGATTGTGTGACCTAATACCTCTTTTATTACAGCACTAACTTTTTCCACATCTAAAAGTCCTCAGAATTTTTGGAAATATAATGTTTTGACATCAAAATTCAAGGGTATTGGGCTGAGGACATAGTTCAGTTGGTAGAGTGTTTGCCTCACATGGACAAGGCCCTAGGTTCAATCCCCAGCACCACAGGAAGAAAAAAAATCTCAAGAGTATTAACTTCTCATATTATTCTTTCATCATCTATTGTTGATAGATATCAATATTGATCTTTAGGATTTGGGGAATTGGTGAAGTAAGTCTATAAATTGTTTTCCCAAATATGATCTTACTTGACTGTATCTGTATTTTGTAAGACTTATCTGTCCAGCTAACATGCAAATCGACATGCATAGTGATATCCTCACCACATTTCTAACAATCAAATTGTTATAGAAATTTGTTACAGTTTGGATCTAGAAATGTTCCTTGAAAAGCCCATGTTTCAAAAGCATGATCCCTAATGCAGAAATGTTCAGAGGTGAAATGATTAGATCATGAGAGCTGTGTGAAACCTCATTAAGGACTTAATCCATTTGATGGATTAATAATTCAAATAGATTGTATGGTGGTAACTGTATGCAAGTGTGGCATAGCTGAAGGAAGGCCGTCACAGGGAGGGTACACTTAGGGATTATGTCTTGTTCCTGGCTCTTCACTTTCTTTCTACTTCCCAGTTGCTATGAGCTGAGCAGTTTTCCTTTTCCATGCCTTCTACTGTGACTTTCTGCCTTAGGCCAGAGCAATAGAGTCAACTGAACATAGACTGAAGCTCTGAAACCGTGAACCCAAAATAAACTTTTTCTCCTATAAGTTGTTCTCTTTAGGTATTTGGGGCACAGTGACGAAAATTGACTGACACAACATTTAACATTTTTATTATCATATTGTCTTCTTTTGTCTCTTGCTTTATATAACCAAGACAGAATATAATACCAGATACTATAACACATTATATATAATCACTCCCTAATAATGTAATCACCCCCTAATAATGATTGGTTCTATCAGTCTATTAAGTAAAATAGAGCATATTCATTCAGTTGTTCTTGCCAGAGAGTGTGCCAAGCAATAGCAATTAGGAAACAAGATATGAAGGTCTTAAGTCCTTCCTCCCTCAGTCTAGCTTAGACAATTAGTAAAACAAGGCTTTACTCATTAAGACCACATTAATGAGCTATTATAAAGTGAGTATCAGATTAGCTGCCAAATTGACAGTACCTTTAATTTAAAAGACAGACAATTGTAGACTGGAGTGTTTTGAAGAGTTCATGTTTAACTGGACTAAGAAGAGAGTTTGGAATATCAAGTTGTTATAAAGTAGTAGCAGTTAGAAGGTAGTTATGACAGAGTTTTCTAGTTATTATCCTACATCCACTTTTCCACCTCCCTCAGTATCAGAAAGTTTGAGCAGGACTCATGGTTTCTTAATCCATTCTGTGCTACTGTAGCAAAATGCCTGAGGCTGGGAATTATAAAGAGCAGAAATTTATTTCTCACAGTTATGGAGAATCAGAACACTCAGTTGTCTGGATGAGGGTTACTCTTTGCTTCTGAGATGGTGCCTTGATGCTGCATCCTCTAGAGGGGATGAATCTATATCCAGTGAACAGAAAGGTAAAAAGAGATGAAATCTTCTCAAGACCTTTTGTACATTGGTGAGGATAGATCCCTCATGATCAGTCACCTCTTAAAGGCTGCCCCTCCCAACACTGTTAAGTTGGGGATTAAGTTTCAGTTTAGTATTGGAAGGGACAAAAATATTTAAATCACAGCACATGGTCATCAGAATGAAACTGAATTTGGTCATGAAAATAAGCTTTTTCCCAAAGGTGAAAGCAGCAGTGGTAAGTGCAACATACAGAAAATGTCCTTAAATAAGATAAGTCAGTTCTCCTTTTCTTCTTTTTTTTATATTAGTAAGCATTTTTTAATTTATATATGACAGCAGAATGCATTAGAATTCTTATTATATAGAGAGAGCACAATTTTTCTTATCTCGGGTTTAAACACAATATATTCACACCAATTTGTGTCTTCATACCTGTACTTTGGATAAT